CTCACAGCGAATCTTGGCAGCCCACACTGGCTGCTGGCTACACATGGTAGCCCATGGCAACCCACTGCCACAGGGGCTGCAGCCTACACCGTTGCCAGCGGACTCACGGCAGCCCAGGTCCAGGTCGAGCTGTTGTTCACCATCTTAGCTGTAGAGGACAGTGTCACTGGCCCTCATATGTGGGATCGGAACCGGGGCCCTACTGCTCAGAGCTAGTGTCCCAAGCCAGCTCTTAACCAAGGCGCCACTTGGCCGGCCCTTGTGTGGGCTTTTCTAGGACTTTAATTTCTAGGTCTCCTAAGAGACAGTCTTTGTGACTGTATCTGTGTGTCTTGGAGACGCATGGCCTTTTAGGCACAAAAGCTTAAGAGTTTTGATTAAGATTATCTGCTAGGACTGGTCCCTGTAGTGTTAAATTCTGTCTCGTTCTCCGCCCCCCCCCCCCAACACAAACTTGACCTTGAGTCCTCAGGGCAGCACCTGTCCTCTTGCATCCTTTATGTACCACAGTATCTGGCTCCTAGTGGCGAGTGCTGGTGAGGGAGCCTGGCTGAGCATGCAACATCCCCTTCCAACACTACCTTGTGCTTCTTAAATTAGTACACGCTCTCATTTAACCCACACAGTCACCTGGAGAGCCCGATGTGTTTTCCCCATTTTACAGATAAGCAGATATGTGCTGGAGTGGCATTTGCAAATTCAGAAATTCTCAGAGAAGGTCTGCGGATGTATCCTTGAGAACGTCAAGGACCTATACTAGATTATGTGATTTTACTTCTGCTTAGCTGCACATCAAAGCAGAATTTAAAGTCACACGGGACTTTGTAAGGCTCAGTGAGGAATTTGCTTTCGCATAAATGTAGAGGTTAAGAGCGCCAGCTTTGGAGCTGACAGACCTGGTTCCACAATTAGCCAAGTGGCCAACTGCTGACTTTGGGCACGTTGCTCAAGCGCTCCAAGCCACTTAGCCCATCTGTAAAATGGGGATGATAATAATTCCTACTTGTGATGATCAACTGAGATAAGTAGAATCATGTCTGATAAACAGTAATAGTATTTTGTTTAAATACTCTCAGTGCTTGGAAACTCAATGACCTCCCAGGATAGGAGATTTTAATGTAGCTTCATTAGAAGCCACCCACATTTTCCTATTTATGACTTCCTGTCATCCCATTTCGGATTTTTTTTTATTTGGTATGCTGCATTTGGGACATAGCATTATTATTTCACATGGTTGCTGTAGTGACGGATCTGTGATGTTAAATTTACAGAATTTGGCAAAACGCAGGTTTCATGCTTCATCTGTTTAGAAGTGGAGGTAATAGCACGCAGTGACTTGTACCAGCCCCCAGCATGGGGCTTTGCACATAATGCCAGCAAAATCAGTGCTTGTCCATCTCGGAGAGCTCCACGCTCTCATGGTAGTTTGCCACCTTGGAAAAATCTGGTGTATTTACAACTGAAAACATTAAAAAAAAAATCAGGTCTGTTTTGTGCTGTCTATGCTCATCAGATTCCATGTTTTCTGTGCTCTTGTGTGCTTGTCTCACTCCAATGTCCTGTGCTTTCTTGAAATTTAAGTTGTTTTACAAAAAAACAAGTTAAATTTTTTTGTTTTGTCCTGTTTTGTATTCAGGGATGTTTAGTGCATTAAGATGAGTAGTTAGTCTTCGAGAAGTTGGGAAGAGAATGCTTTTGTTGAAAGTTTTGTGTTTCCATGTAGAATAAATATAAAGAAAACTACCAGAACCACGTGAGAGGGCGCTATGAAGGAGTTGGCATGGACAAACGGACTCTTCATGCTATGAAAGTTGGAAGTCTGGCAAGCAACGTGAGTCCTTTTGTGAAGGGCCGAGAGGTCCTGGGGATCTGTTGGAGTGCAGAGAGATGGAGCATAAGGAATTCAGCCAATTCTTTTTCAACCTCCCTTTTTTGAAAATCAGTTTTCTGTTGTGCAAAGACTGACCCATAAGAGTTTCTAAATGTTAACCAGTACAACCAAGGCTGGTAAAAATCCTGGAAATGTTTTCCATAGCTTCAATTTATTCATCTCAGCTTTCTCTGTTATGAAGAGTAGTCAGATGTCTTGCAATTGATCCAGTGTGGGGGAACTTTCAGTTTCTGAGAGATAAAGAGAAATGGATGAGCAGAATTCCTATTGGAAATCCCTCAGATTTCTAAAGCATTTGTGATTTATTTTGGATTTGTTGGTTCGTTGGTTCATTAATTTATTTGATCATAGTGTCCATCAAAGACCTCGTTTGGTCAAGGCACCGGACAAAGTAGCCGGATGACAAAATAGATCAGCTCCTGTTTTCCCATAGCCCATCATCTATTAATCCGTCTTTAGCTTTAACAATTCAGTTGATAGGTTTGCAAATGCCATGTTGTAAATCTTGGCAGAAAAAAAATCTTAAAAATTTTTTTTTAAAGGACACTTTAAAAAAATGGATTTCCTTATTAAAACGTACAAATGTCAAATTTCCTCTGCTTGAGAATGTCAAATTTGACCTTAGAAAAAAATTTAAACACTCTAAAGACTCTTGACTTTTCATTTATTTTGGGGGGTTAGCCAAGAAGCTCTTCCGTGGTATACTCATGTGCAAATGCTTCTTTTTAACAAGAATTACAATGGGTTCCATATATATAAGAAAGATAAAATAAATGTGCTACAGATGGAAGTGAATTAATTTTGGATTAATTAAGCAGAAGAATTCAAATTAAATGAAGTCAAAAGTGTGAACATAATTTAATTTTCCTTGGAGGTGATGAAACGGAATTAATTTTGTCTCCAGTTATTTTTTAAAAAATTATTTCCTATGACATTCAAACAAGGTCAAAAGAAAGTGAGGGCTAATTTCCTTCTTGTTCTTTCCTTTGGGTGTCAGGTCACCTACAAAGCTGATTATAAACATGATGTTGTTGACTACAACTACCCAGCTACTTTGACTCCCTCCTATCAAACAACGGTGAAACTGGTTCCCTTGAAAGACGTAAGTCCTCTTCCAGGGGCCCTTTCTGCTTTTTCCTCGTCGCTTCCTTCCTATGGGGTGATTCTTAGGCAGCAAGATGGAAAGAAACAAGACACAACAGTTCACAGAAATGGGCACTCTTTTCCACTAGGAAGAGCATTTATGTAGGTTTAGAAACTCTTAGACTTTCAGTGTAAGGCGGGGACAACTCTGGTTTCATCTTGAAAATAACCCGAGGTTCAATTTCTCCTCTTAGAATTTAGTGGACTGTGTCAGCTGCTGGGCACATTTAAGTAATTGCTCCTTAGCAATGATGAGCTTTTTATTTTTAACTTTTGGAGTGTGGTATGTTTAAGGACTGCAGGGAATAAAATATAATGACTATGAGCTGAGGGGAGGTGGAAACGATGACTCAATTTTTTTCTCGGGAGCATTTGGGTAATACGTATGGAATAATATACAGCAATTATTACATCAATGATTTTATTTATTTAGAGCTCGGCTTGTCCCAAATGGATAATTAATTAATAACAGATAATGCATAATTAATTAAATTATTGTTTTCTAATTATAGGAATTTTACTGCATATTTATTACAGAGAATTTAGAAACTACAGAAAAGCACAAAGATAAAAGTCATGTTCCGTCTTAAGTACTTAAGGTGGCTTACAACTTAGTTGGTATCATGGTTATTTGTCAGTGAAAGTTATCTTAAATCGATCAGTAATTTAACAAATAATTCAACATATGTTTAATAAATTCCCAGTGCTACTTTCCTGCACATCCCTTTGGGGTTGGCACAACTCTAGTAGTTGACTTGGGTTTTGCTATTGGTAGATAGGTCTTTGCATCTCTGTCTCTTTTGCTCAGCGTAGGGGCAATGTTGGGTATAATTGGGTATCTCCAGTGTCTAATACATTTTATAGCACAATGGAGGACAGTCATTGGCAAATGATAGTTTAATGGATGAAAGGGGCTTTTTAAACATGTAACAAAGCCAGGAATGGGGGAAGTAGAGGAATCTAAAGGGCCGAAATTTTGCTTCTCTTTTTCTTGGGAAGTTTGGTTTCATTTTGCCTTAATGAAACCCAAGGTTAAATGTGACTACCAAAGCTATATCCTTTCTTTTTTGGCTGCATACATTGCCTGGGAAACTTGAGAATCAAGAGCATTTCATAAAAATGTGAGTGTGTGCTCATGCAGTAGGATTCTAGAAATCATGTTTAATTGTGCAAAAAAAAAAGATGTAGATTTCTACAATTGTGCACGCCCATTATAACATGACCTGCTATTATACTTGCCCGTATAAGACTGTGGCTCAAACCATGCACCTGAAATATAACCAGCTCACTTCAGGAAGTCTGAGAAAAGAACTCAACTAGATTAGATTAGAAATATCAGTTGGAAGTGGAGGTGGGTTCTAAACGGGCATTTCTCCTTGAATGAGCCAGATGAAGACTGCAGAGGTGTTCTCTTCAGCCACACTGAGTTAAAAAAAAAAATTCAACCAATAAATAGGAATTGTGAGAGTTCACATAAAAATTTATATTTTCACCTTTCTCTTGAAAAATTGGAAAACCCTGGGAACTGTGACCCTAGGTCCTGCGTGGCAGCAATTGGCTGGGACTGAGTGGCAGCTGCTCTCTGTCGTTGGATTCTCTTTTACTTTCCTGGCTCTCGCGTGATTTTGAGTTTACCTAATGTAGGGGCTTTGGTGTTCAGGACATTTGGGAAATCCATTACAAGAATATTTATAGTCTCTTGTTCTGTCTGGTAGTCTTAAAGGTAGTCACATAGCTATGAAATTAAACAAGCACGGGTTTTTGATTAGAGAGTGTTTCTTTCAAATGGATTTTATAAACACTAATATCACAGAAATGAGACTCTATCCTCAGCAGAGGCCCTTCAGAAAGTAGGTTGAATCAGTGGCCAAGCATCTGGGATGTTGCAAAGGTGCGATTAATCGCAGAGACTGTTAATTATGTCTGGCAGAGGAAAGTCATTGTGCTCTGCACATACTTAATGCCAAATTATCGGGAAGGAATATGCCATTTGAAAAATACAGTTTTGTGACACTTTATCATGCATAATTGTGAATTCTAATAGACTCTTTATTATGAGACGATAATTTTTCCCTCTGAATTAATGCATTAGGAAACCACTGTACTGTAATCTCATTAATGTTTGACATTGAAGTGACTTTGCATTTCCTAGTTTCTAGTTTTCCTGACATACCCCATGTCCAAAACTCAGAATGTGCAAAAACTTTTCTCCTTGAATCATTAACTTAAAAGCCCAAAGTGATGCTGTCCTTTATCCCCAAACCCAACAAAATAC